TTCACCCCCTCCTCCCCTCCCCATCTACAAACACTTTATTTTCATCTTTTCATTCTCTCACATTTTTTTCTTTTCCCTTTTTGTTCTTCCCCTACGTATCACACCTTCCCTACACCTTTAGCTCCTTTCCTCCCATTTCTAAATGTCAGTAATCTTATTAGAATCTTATGCATTGTTGCAGAATATTCACACCAGGGAAACTATTTGGTATTTACACATGTGTGACTTATTTATTTCACTTAGGAGTATATCTTCAATATGTATCCATTTTCCTATGAATGAATCTATTCTCTCGCTCTTTATGGCTGAGTAATATTCCATAACACACCCTGTCTTAAAGACAAAATCACCTACAACACATCCTGATCTGTAACTGGCTTGGTCACCTGACAATAGATCCTGAAGATTTTGCACTATGTGAAATCAAGCTCCTATCCAGCTTTTTTCTTCAACATTTTCATTACAAAAATTTCAAATGCACAAAAGAATATTTCCTGAAAGAATATTCCTGTAAACACTCATATATCTAGTACCTTTATTCAAAAGTTATGATTTTATTTTCTGTATGAATGCACATTTATAAAGATAAAGGTGACTGAATCATGTAAAAATAACTTGCAGAGATTTTGTTTTGTTTTGTTTTTTGAGACAGGGTCTCACCAGGTAGTTCAGGCCGGCCTTGAACTCACTACATAGTCCAAGCTGGCCTCAAACTTACAGTGATCCTCCTGCCTCAGCCTTCTGAGTGCAAGGACTACAGGTGTGCACCACAACGTCCTGCCCCAAATCTTTCTGGGCCCCTAAATCACTTTCGTTTTTTTGCATTCCTCTGTCACTTGCAGGAGCTGAGACCCTTGCTGTCATATAACTTGTGCCAGCATCTTAGTCTCGCTGCTGCTGCCCAAGCCCCGGTTCTGCGCACTCCCACCTCTCCCCAGCTGCTGTGGTCCTGGCCACACTTCCCCCTTTGTTTCCCAACACAGTGCACAGATTCTAGCTCGGCCCCTCTGACTCTCTAATCACACATTCCAGGACCTGCACACTCCACAAGAGCTGAGGGCCTTCTGCCTGGATGCCCTGGCCCTGTAGGGGGCTGGAGGGAAGACCCTGGGGGCTCTCACACCCCTTCCAGCTGCTGCACACACCCACCCGCCAGTTTCCCTTCCATAACCTCGGGCCCTTCATGTGCTGTGGCAATGAGATGTTCAGAGTGGTTTCTGTCCTCTGGCCAGCAGGGGGTCCTCTGAGACTGAGGTCCTCACAACCCGGAGGACTCAGGTTTGGCTGGACCAGGGCCTGCTGGGCGGCAGGTGCTCCATGAATGACTCTTGAGACAGCTGTAGGCCTTGTTTCCACAATGGCCACTCACCAGGGATTCAGCGCCACTACTCTGGCGACAGGGGAAGCCACACATCTCCTTTTTGAAGCAGTAATTCTGCAAAAGCACTGAAAATCTCCTTGTTACAGACATGCCCCTGCTCCACTGACTTTTTTGTTTGTTTGCTTTATGAGAAAATGTTTTACTGTGTAGCTCAAGCTGCCCTTGAACTCATCGTGCAGCATAGGCTGGCCTCAAACTTGCAGCAATTCTCCTGCCTCAGCCTTCCAAGCACTGGGACTAGAGGTATGTGCCACCACATCTAGCTTTTCTCCTTATACTTTAATAGAACATATTTTAAATTTTGTTTATCCCAATTTCTCTCTTATTGTCATGCATATTATCATTATTGTTATTATTAAATGGGTCTTGTTCTATTGCCCAGGCTGGCCTCAAGAGAGCCTCCTGCCTCTGCCTTCTGAGGAGCTGGGACTATAGACACTTGCTAGCAGGGCCTTCACACAGAGCTGTACATCTCCAACTTTTAAAAATATTTTATTTGAGACAGGTCTTCATA